CCGCCTTGCGCGATACTACTGGTAATGATGACAGTGATAAGACCAAGGACGGAAGACCACCATCACCATCACCGTAGCAATATCCGAACCAGTCCGAAGCGGTTTTGCTTGCATTTGAATGTTGGGTTGCCAAAATCAGAGCAAGTGGAGGTCGATGTATGATGAAAGCGTTGCGTGCCTAGGCGAGGGCGCCTTTTTTCCATTGGTTTTCTACTCAGCTGCTAGACTACCTGGGAGCCTGGTCCAGGTGCTGAATCAAACATTGATACCATCTACAGCTCCTCGCACGCAGCCAAATCTATCCAGTGTATTCCAATTATCATGCGAGATGTCGGATTCAGTGAGCATTGCAGCATACTTGCAGCATGTCTGGAAAGAACACCGCACCTGGCTGTTTGGGCGCATTGAACCTGCCCACCAGTGTGGAGCTAGGAATTTTGTCAGACATGTGTCAAGGGCTTTGTGAAGGGCTTTGTCAAGCTCTCAGACCATCTCAAACCATCAAGGTTCTGCTCAGCTGTCTTTTCTTGCGGCGCCGATATGATATTCTGCAGATCACAGGTGTCGCGGCTGCTTGACATGCAGCCTGTCCTTTCCACCACTGAAACCGCTAGCGCTAGCTTATTTATATTCATTTGATTCACAATGTCCCATCCAGATGTTTGTCTCTGTGGCGCAAAGTTGGCCACAAGCTGGCCCACCACGCTAAGTTTGTGAACCAAAGGACTCTAGACTCAAGCCAATTCTAGATGTGCCGCCGTGACATACTTTCATACTGTGTTGCCTGAGGTTGTTCTTGCAGGCGTCGCAGCATTCACATCGTTTCCACGAACCTCTGGCTCTGTCGCAGTTGTTGCACTTTGCATAGCTGCATATGGGTGACTCGCCAGCAGCGCGTCACATTTGGATACACAATGATACATGTCAGCCCCATGAATGGACACAACAGTTTCTGTATTGAAAGCCTCGGCACCCATTCCTGTGTTTCATCAGTCTCACTTCTTTTTGCTTTGGCGCTCGCTTTTCCTGAAAGCATTTAAGCTTATGAAAATTTTACCAGCAAACTCTGAGGGTTGTTGGTTATTTATTTTTGTCATTTTTTGTCATTTGGTTTTTGCATTTTTTTGCCATTCCTGTTTTGTGGTGTCATTTTTTGTCATTTTTGTCATTTTTGTCATTTTTTGTCATTTGTTAAGTCATTTTTTGTCATTTCTTGTCATGTTCTTGTCATGTTTTTGTCGTTTTCTTGTCGTTTTCTACTTTCTAGCATTGTTCATTTTCTTGTCGTTTTCTCATCCGGATCAGGCAAGCGGTGAAGGTGGCAAACCCGGTCTAGGAAATGCAAAAAAAATGCAAAAAATGACTCCGGTTTGGGAACTGCAAGAAAATGCCAAAAAAAATGAATCCCAGTCTGGGGAGTGCAAAAAAATGCAAAAAAAATAACTCCTAACCTAGTCTGGGAAATGCAAAAAAAATGCAAAAAATGCAAAAAAAATGACTCGTCCCGGGCCTGAGCCGCTCCCCCCGGGCCATTTCACCCCGGCCCCGGCCCCCCCACCCGGTTTTTGAGCCGGCCCTGCACCCCGAGCCGGGAGACAATTCCTCGTCCAGGCAGGCCCAAAAACGAATTCCCCAGGGCAAGCTCCCTTGCCCTATTCTTCTTCACGGCCGGCTTGCTTTCCAAGAGTTTCTGCACTTGTTCCTTGTATTTGGTGCTGCCACGAGATAACAAAAGGTCTGTCATGGTAGTCATGTTTTAAGGTTTTTACCCATTTTCCCGTTCCCAAAATGACAATAAAATGACAAACACATGACAAAAAATGACAAAGAAATGAGAAAAAATGACAACGCAAATCCAAAATGACACACCCAAATGCAAAAAAAGCAAAAACAAGCCAAAAAAAAATACAAAATAATTATTTTGGAATTTCCAATGTTTGCATGCCCAATTTTTTCCCAAATTTAAGCAAATTTAACGGAGTTTTTTGCATTCACTCCCTAAGGATCGAAAGATGGTGCTATAAATTCACTTATCAGAAAGTAGTTGTTTTTAAGCTACTTAGGGGTAAAAGGGTGGTAAGTGCATCAAATTCCCATACTTAACGGAACTCGTGTTTTTCCGATAAAATTGGGAGTCAGATTCAGAGCAACACCAAGAATCTCAAAGCCATGTGTTTTTGTCTATCCGTGAAGATCTGGTTTTGAAGGGGTTGTCACGGGCTGTCACGGCCTGTCACGGTTGTTTTCCGATAAGTCAACATGTTTAGCAAGAACATATGCATTCGTCACGGGGTGTCACGGGTTCGTCACGGTCTGTCACGCACAACCCAAAAGTAGATCCTGACAAATTTTGACATATTGGGTCTTTTAATCATTACTGTTGCCTAGACATCCAGGATAATCCGACAAAAATCCGATAAACATATATAAAAATCCGATAAGTGTATGTTTTTGGGCATTGTCAGAAAAGTACCCTTGTGGGACCTACTTTGCCGATACTGCCCTATTTGTCTACTTCAATCCTCAGGGACTGAAACATAAGCAAAACGACGAAGACGCAACAACCCCATGTTTCCTCTTAGAGTTCCTAATGGCTAAGACGGAGTAATTAAGGACTAGATTTTCCCATTTGTTCACATTTGCTGACCACGCTCGCAATCAAAAACGAACACAAAAAAGGTGCGGGGAAAGGTTCAGATATATCAGATATATTTATTTATGGTATCCTATTAGCCTTGTGATGCGATGTAATGCAATGCAATGTAGCGTACTGTAGCGCAATTTATTTTAGATAAATATACCAGTAGTACCGCACAAGGCAGCAGCGGAAGTTTCAAAAAAACGGAAACCAATAGGAAGGGCTGGCTGTTATGACTCCCCGGATGGCAGAGCGAATCCACTGATGGACCGAAGGGTGGTTGGAGTTGTGTTTTCTAGAGTGGTTGCAATGGTTGCAGTGGTCACCTCACCACAGCTGCTGGATGTAGTGTGGTGTAGTGCGGTTGTAGTTGTAGTCGTATGTGTAGTTGTAGTGTAGTGGAGTTGTAGTTGCAAGCTGTAGCTGTAATGTAGTGTAATTAGTGTAGTGTAGTTGCAGTTCCAGTTGTTGTGGTGTGGTGCAATTAGTGTAGTGTAGTGTATTGTAGTGTTGTGTTCTGTAGCGTGGTATAGTGTAGTGTAGTCTAGTGTGTTGTAGTGTAAAGTAGTGTAGTTGTAGTTGTAGCGTAGTGTCGTGTAGTCCAATTTAGTGGTAGTTGCAGCTGTAGCGTAATGTAATGTAATTAGTTTAGTGTAGTGTTGTGCAATGTAGTGTAGTTGTAGTTGTAGTTGTAGTTGTATTTGCATGTGTAGCTGTACTCTACTGCAGTTTAACTGGTGTATTGTAGTGTAATGTAGTGTGACTGCAATTGTAGTTGTAGCTGTGGTGGTGGTAGTGGTGGTGGTGGTAGTAGTAGTAGTGGTGGTAGTAGTAGTAGTGGTGGTAGTAATGGTAGTAGTGGTAGTTGTGGTAGTAGTGGTCGTAGTGGCATTGAGATGTTGATAAAGTGCACGCCGTTGTGGCGCGAAGCACATTTCGAAGTCAAAATGTACAAAACACTTCAGCTTCGGACCACTTTTAGGAATTGAGATGTTCAAAAAGTGTACGCGGTTGTGGCGGGAAGCACATTTCGAAGTCAAAAGTGAAAAAAACTGACGGGTACGGACCACCTCTGGACGTTCAGATGCCGTTTTGCGTGGCAGGCGCAAAGGATTGTGCACCTTGACATAAGTGAGCAAAACGAGAGGGTTTTGTAGCAGTTTCAAAAGCGCTGGCAGGTGTGGGGCATTTCAAGAGAATCTGCAAAGATGCAGTTCGCGTGGCAGGCGCAGGCCGCTGATTTCCTGAGAGGGGTTGCATTTTGGAGCATCAGATCTTCAGGTTTGCTAAGAATCATAAAGGGCGCTGTGCTAAAGTTTGCAATCAAAATATCAAAGCGCTAAGAAAAAATGCCGCGTATTTTTCGAAATTTGGGCACTGCGTGTGCGACTTGCCGTTTTAAGGTAAATTTGTAGACGTTCCGAACCCACCCGTACGTTTTGATGAACACAATGAAAACCTAGCCTTATAACCCCTGAATCCCTCTAGGATGCCAAATTCAGGACATAGTTTTCTGACGCTTTTTAATATGGTTTTTGATACGGTTGGAAGATATGAACTTGATACGCTTTGAATTTGGTCTTGTGATTTCGATATGGTTTTGTTATGTTTTTGATATGGTTTGGGTTATGGTTTAGATATGGTTTTGGAATGTTTTGGATGTTATTTTGATATGGTATGGTTTTGATATGGTTTGGGAACGGAGCGCCTTTTTCAGGGTTCCTGACGGGGTGGCTTCAAGAAAGGAAACGGAAACAGCCCCGGGACAGCCTTTTGGTCGATTTCTCGAGGGTTTTGGTGGTTTTGATATGATTTTGCTGTGGTTTTGATATGGTTTTGATACGATTTGATACGATTTTGATATGATTTTGATATTTTGATACGATTTTGATACGCTTTAAATACCTTTTTGATACGATTTTGATATGATTTTGATACGGTGTTGATATGGTTCCAGTGAGTTGGCTTCAGAAAAAGAAAAAGAAACAGAAACAGCCCAGGGACAGGTTTTTGGTCCATTTTTCAAGGGTTTTTTTGTGGTTTTGATATGATTTTGATATTTTGATACGATTTTGATACGCTTTAAATACCTTTTTGATACGATTTTGATATGATTTTGATACGGTGTTGATATGGTTCCAGTGAGTTGGCTTCAGAAAAAGAAACAGAAACAGCCGAGGGACAGGTTTTTGGTCCATTTTTCAAGGGTTTTTTTTGTGGTTTTGATATGATTTTGATACGATTTTGATACGTTTTGATACGCTTTTGATACGATTTTGATACGATTTTGATACGATTTTGATACGATTTTGATATGGTTTTGATACGATTTTGGATATGGTTCCGATGGGTTGGCTTCAAATCACAAGTTTGACCCGCATCAAGAATCATAACTGAAACCATATCAAAATCATATCTAAAACCGTATCAACACCATAACTGCAAAACCACGCCAGAAACAATTCATAACAGCAAATCATATCTGAAACGTATCAAAATCATAAAAACTTTTATTTTGAAATACTTCATCCTAGAGACTTCGGATGTTATAAACCCAGCCGCAGTTAACATACCTCGCGGACTTGCATACGTAGATGTGCGTGATCGCATGTCGAAAAATCGTTTTTTGCGACGCTTGCAGTACTTCCGCATGGTCTTCTTACAATGACTGCCGTTTTTCATCGCAGGCACAGCACTTCAGATATGTCCCTGTCAGTCCATGTCCTTTTTTTGGTGACACGCGCGGCACTTTAGACGTGTGGTGTTGTGTGTCTTTTGGCAAATCGTAGTGGAGCTGCCGCATCAAGTGGTGGGCGCAGTACGTCGCGAGAGTGCTTGAAACACTCAGTGTTTCCAACTTGCGTTTTCCCGGTTGGCATGGCTACGCGTGGTGCGTTGCTGCGTTTGTCTTTACTGCAGCATGTTGCAATATTCAGTTGCCAGACATCCCAAGACGTGAAGTCTTGTGAAGATTCGCAAAGTACTCGTCCGAGCCAGCAGCCAGCAGTAAACATGAACCTGGGAATACCTGGGATACAAACAACTCTGTGGCCCCGGACACGGTTGTCCCAGTGGGTGTTCTGTGCATCGCTATCTCGGAAGCTTCCGTTTTGATCCGTTTTGTTGCCGTGTTGAACACTCATTTGATCATTGATCGAGCTTTGAGGCTTCAAGCTGGAGCACTTTGGACGCAGTTCAAGACCAGGAAGTTGCCGTGTTGCACTTGTTTTTCCATGTTTTTCCGTGTGGATTGAGCTCTCAGCATTTGCAACGCGTGGAGAATATGTTGCTGCCCGTCAGAGATGCGTTGTGCACTCCAAGGCAATGGTGTTGAAAGAGGTGGTTTTCTCAAGATATCAAAAGAACCCAGCAGGCTCCTGCGCAGGAGTGTGCAACGGACAGAGAAGTGACAGCCACAACGCAAGACTGCAAATGACAGTCTAGCACGTCTCAAATATGAGATTTAATTTTCAAATTACAGGGAAGTGACATCAATTGGCTGTCAATCTCATCAGCATGCAGCGAACCTGGCGCAGGACATGCAAACGATGGTATCGGTGGAGATCGTTGCCTGCCTTTTGACGCTTGCTCAAGAAGTAGCGTTGAAAATTTTAGGAAAGCCAGCCGACAGGCAAGGCTGAGTTGTTGGTTGCGAACGTAGTGAGTATTTATAGGGGCCTGGGCGCCATTGCTGGTAAAAAGTCGCATTTCAATTTGATTATGTCGGAAATCTGGTGACCGCACAAGGCCGTTTTCCAGGCCATGTACCTAGTGACGGTAGGGCTTCGATTCCCCCCTGGTCCACCTCCGGGGCAAACTGTGGGGCTGGGCAAGAAGGGTTTTGATATTAGATGAACCATGCTGAACCTCAACGGCTGATCTAGTCCAGTGGGCTTCGAATTTAAGGCCTGACGGAAAGAGCCCTGCTGGACCTCAACGGCTGATCTGGTCCCGTGTGCTTTGCATTGAAGATGCTTGAACGTTTTTGTCGGATTTGGGTGTCCTCTGATGGATGAAGCGCTGCGGGTGATATGGCCTGAGGGGAAGGGCCATACTGAACCTCAACGGCTGATCTGGTCCGGTGGGCTTCGCGGTGAAGGCATGAGGGGAAGAGCCATGCTGAACCTCAACGGCCGATATAGCCTGGTGGGCTTCGCATTGAAGATGCTTGAACATTTTTGCCGGATTTGGGTGAGGCTTCTGATGGATGAAGCGCTGCGGGTGATATGCCCTGAGGGGAAGAGCCATGCTGAACCTCAACGGCTGATCTGGTTTGGTGGGCTTCACATTGAAGATGCTTGACTTTTTTTTGCCGGATTTGGGTGAAGGTTCTGATGGACGAAGCGCTGCGGGTGATATGGCCTGAGGGGAAGAGCCATGCTCAACCTCAACGGGTCATCTGGTCTGGTTGGCTTCGCATGGAAGGTGCTTTTTCATTTTTGTTGGATTTTTTGTTTGGCGCTGAAGATGGCTAAACCGCATGCGACCCAGTCAGGTTTAGGGTGTGGCGATGGAGATGCGGGTGAAAGACGAACTCGAGTTACTTGCCGCATGCGAGGTACATTGACCTACACAAGTTTTTTGCGACAGGTTGGCGGCTGGCGGTAGTCACTAAAGCTAGCTTCTGCTAGCTGAAGCCCCTCTTGCTTTAGCAAGGTATTGAGGGGGGCTGGAATCTCCAATCGCGAGAAACTTCTCAGTTAACTATCCCCCTCCCCCCCCTCCCCCCTCCCCCCCTTCACAAGCAGTTTTGGCCGTGCGCTCAACACCCGTCAGCAACATCTCCGCACTCCGCACTCTACACTTTGCACTCCCTGCATTCTTAAACTCTTAACTTTCTGCTCCACACTTTATACCCCGCACTCCACGCTCTACACTTTACACTTGGCACTCCACACTCTAGTTTTACACTTGGCACTCCACACTCCACCCTCTAACTCTACGCTCCACACTCTACACTTTACACTCCACACTCAACACTCTACACTGTACACTCCCACTCTACACTCTGCACTCTGCACGCTACACTTTAGACTTTACATTACACTTCGCTTTTTTACACTTTACACTTTACACTTGACACTCCACACTCCACAAAAACTTACATTTTACACTTCATGCTTTACAATTGACACGCACCACTCTACACTTTACACTCCGCACTCTAGACTTTAGAGTTTGCACATTGCACTTACTTTACATTCCACACTATACTCTCTACACTCCACACTTTGCATTCTACATTTTCCAACTGACACCCCGCACTCTACACTTCACACTTTCCATTTTACACTCTACACTCTACGTATTACACTCTACACTTTACACTTCAGGCACTAAACTTTACACCACGCACTCCACACTCTACACTTTACACTCCGCACTCTACACTTTACGCTCCACACTTTACACTTGACACTTACACTGACACTTTACACTCCACACTCTCCACTCTATACTTTACACTACATTTTACACTTAACACTTTACAGCTGACACCCCGCACTCTACACTTTACTCTTTACACTTTACACCCCGCACTCTACACCTTACACTCCAAACTCTGAACCCTACACTCTACGCATCACACTCCACACATGGCCCTGCGCACTCTATATATACACTTTACACTCCGCGCTCTACACTTTGCACTTTTTATTTTGCAGTCCACACACTCTATATACACTTTACACTTCACACTTGACACTTGACACTCCACACTCTACACTTCACACTCCACACTCGACGCTCTACACTTTACACTCCACACTCTACTCTTGACACCCCACACCCCACACTCTACAGTCTACGCTTTACACTCCACACCACACCTTACACTTTATACACTGTGCACTGTCTGCCCACACTCTATACTTTACAGTCCGGACACTTTACACTTTACACTTTCACACTTTACACTTTACACCTTGCTCTTCACTTTTCACACTTTTCACACTTTACACGCCACACTCTACACTCTACACCTTGCACTCTACACTTTGCACTGCGCACTCTACACTTTACACTTTGCACTTCACGCACTTCACGCACTACACTTTACACTACCTACTCCACACTCTACACTCTACACTTTACACTCCACACTTTACACTTGGCACTCCACACCCCACACTTTACACTCCACACTCTACACTCAATACTTTACAATTTACATTTTTCACTTCACACTTTACACTTGGCACTCTGCACTCTAGACTTTATTCTTTACGCTTTACACCCCACGCTCTACACTGCACACTCCAAACTCTAGAGTCGACATTCTACACCTTATACTCTATACTTGACACTGCGCACTGTATATATATATATAGATATATATATATATGTGTATATATATATACGCTTTACACTCCACACTACGCTTTACACTTCACACTTGACACTCCGCACTCCACACTCTACACTTCACACTCCACACTCTGAACTTTACACTCGACACTCTACACTCTACATTTCACACTCCGCACACTACACTTTACACTCCACACTACACTTGACACCCCACGCCCCCACACTTTACACTCTACACTTTACACTCCACACTGCAGACTTTACATGTCACACTGTGCACTGTACACTGTACACTGTACGCTCCACACTACGCTTTACAATCCACACTCTACACTTTCCAGTCCGCATTCTACACTTTACATTTTACACTTTCACCTTACACCCTCACAACTTTACACTTTTCACACTTGACTCTGTATGGAACCTTGGCCTAGCTTCATTTTCATGTTGCGCACCTACACCTACCTCTCGTCCTCAACTTCGGCTTTGCACTGCGTTACGTCTTCCCGCGCTTCCAAAGGTCCACTCCGATGCCGAAGGTGGACCTTCCCATCTTCCTCAATCACTTGACAATGGTGCTTGAATGCACGTTCAACCTTCGCTGGCTTTCGTTCCCACCCTCTCAGGAACTGTGACAAAGTTTTGATATTACAAAAACAACGCTTATTCGCAAACTGTGATGAGGGAACGCGCCACGGGAAAAATGGTTTTCCTTCACATGAAGATGATCGTGAGTAGCGCCGCAGTTGCAGAGTAATTCGACGTCAATGGATTGGCATATCTATGCATGCTATTTGCCAGCATCGAAGAAAACCTTCTAGTCCGCACCAATCACGGATCATGGTCTGTGTTTTTCTAGCATTGAATTGTTGGATTTGCGACCGGAAGAAATGCGCGCCTATCATAAGGTTGATTAAATTCGTTTTCTGTCGGAGATTTTGAATGAAAGCAGGCTCAAAGACCAGAAACATCCAGAGAGTGTGTTTGAACAACTTTCAATTAGAGCGTTTGGAAAGGAGTCTGCCATGAATGATCGTAAGTGGCAGATTTCCAACTAACACCAGCCCGAGACCAACATCAATAGCCAAAAGTCACTGCGTTTGTAGTCACAAAGTTTAAATCGCGTGACAGAGTCATTTATGTTGTTCCTGTCAGCACATATGTCCGAGAACACTGGTTTGCATATCAAATATCAATGTTACTTGTATCCGCTTCTGAAATTTTGTAATGATCTTGTGACATCGTGAGCCAACAGATCCCAACAGCTGCGCAGTCAGGATCCTGCACTATTCCTGACAGCAGGGACAGGTTGCCGCCTTCTTGTTCAGTTTTTGGCCTGGCCTGTTTTTCAACAACTCACGCAAGGTTTGAGTCTCAGGACAGGGTCCACGGATGTGCTCTTCATCAACATTAGCCAGTAACATTTAGTCAGTTTAATCGATTTTAATCGAGAGTTTTTAGCTGGATTCAGACCAGCCCTCCAGAAGGTGTAAGGATGTTTGCAAGCGAATAAGAAAATATGTGGACATTAAAGTTGTTTAAAAATGTTGAAACATTTAGAAATAACAAAGTGCATATGACGCATCAAGGGGCCTCAGTCTTCGTGGCAGGTCTGAAGGTCAAATATTTCAGCACACACCACAAATCTGTTCCAAACAACCTGTTTGAAGCCTTCCGCATGGTTTCAGGAGTTGTTTTGCAGCTGGTTTTCAAGCAATGCAGCAACCTTCAGTTCTACCTCTGGTTGTGTTCTACATTGCAGCAAATGCGTTTGCCTTATTCGTTTTTTGAACCGTGACAAGCGCTGGATCTTTGAGTGAGTCCATTTTGATCATTTTGTTTTATAAGAGCAATTATATGTGCAATATGTATCAATATCTGCAATGCTTTTCATATCTTTTCATATGGTGCAGTGCAAGCCTTGTTCTGCCCCGCAAAACGTTGAGGTGGCCTTGAGCATCACCGCCCTGTTACTTGTGCAGAAGACTTCCGCTGCTGCCACCGTCCTGGCCAATGTCGCACCAAAGTTGCACCGGAGAGGTTTTCTAAAGATTCTAAAGTGTTTTTTTATTTTGTTCATGTTTTATTTGGAATATGTTGGAATGTTTGTCCACCTTACAGTTGTTCTAAGTTGAGAGTTTGGACGCTGAGTCTACTGAGCCTACTGAGTTTACTGAGTCTACTGAGTACTAAGGTGGCACTACCTTTGAGTGCCCTTGTTTTTTGCCTGCCGCTCCCACTGCTGGAGCAGCAGGCTGAAAGACAAATAAACAATGAAATTGAAAACACCAGAAAGGATTGACATGATTGAGTGTACACACAGTGTTGTCATTATATGTCATTGTGATCAGGTGGAACAAAGTAATGAAAGTGCAACCTAGATTTCACAGCGCGGCTCAGGCCGTCAGAGTGCATACGTGCCCTTACATTCCCTTGCATTCCATTGGATTGCATCTTACATTGACCAGCGTGGCCTAGCATTGCAAAGTGCTGCATTGACACATCCACTACATCGGACTGAGTCAGTTTGCAACATAGATGCGTGATGATGCGTGTGCATACATCATGCATAATTAAGTACATGCATATATTGGACGCATTGCATCATTAGAATCATTTCAATCAGATAGAAATAGTTTATAACATCTTGCAACATATCACATCATATCACAGCATTCATCCGGACACATCGAATGCATCCACACATCCATCCCTCCATCCATCCCTCCATCATCTCCATCCATCCCTCCATCCACTCTTGCATGCGTACATGTCTACATACCTTGCCTTTCCTTTCCTTACCTTGGCATTACATTGCATTACAATGCGTTACATTAGATGCATACATGGGGCTTGAATTTGCACCGATCTGTGACTTCATTCGTTACATTGCGTGAAATTGCGTGGTACGTTTCCCGCTTTATATCCAACAAACATGTTGAGAGATGTGGCGACTTTTTAGCTTTGGATATCTGTATTTTTGTTCATGTGAAGGCGTCCCCCCAAGGCAGATAGTCAAGGTTTTCCCAGTTTGCAAAAGGTATCCAGAAGAGTCTTGGAAGCTGGGTTTGGACAGTGAAGCTTGCACGTGTGCAAAAACGATTTTGCATTTTGTGGCTGTTCTGTGCTGCCTTTGAGTTGTGCGTCGTTTTGCTTTGCCTATCTCCTTCCTGCTTTTCCTGTGGCAGGCGTTTCATTGGCAATTTGCACTGAGTTTAGTGCTAATTGTCCTTGGGAGCCTCAACTGCACTAGGCAACGTATGCAAACGTTATATAGTCGACAGAAGCCGGTACAAGTAGCATCCAGTCATCCAGTAGCCAACTCGCGCAACTTGTTTTGTTCTCTTGCTGACGAGGAACTTGCTCTACAGTCACCGGTCTCTGAGAGAGTGATAGCTTGAAGACGCTTCAAGGTGAACTGAAACAAGGTGTGCCAAAGTCGCCACTTGCACTGCGTTCACATTCGAGGTCCTAATAGTAGCTTGATAACGGGACAGGTTGTGATTGTGATCCTATTATTGCTTCTGACAGCTATGCTGCTTGCTGAAGGAAAAGGATGGGCTGCAAGGGAAGTGGCTGCGGGATCAGTGCTGCATGCAATAGATGTGGGGTTGAAGGGCCAAGCAATCAGGACCAGTATCAACCCTGGCAAATCCTCTTGTAAGAAGCACCTCACTTGATACACTAAAAGTTGTTGCTTCCGCCACAAACGAACCTGACACAGATTGACACAATGTCTATACATGTCTATACGTATTGTTTTCTACAATCGGATTGCACCAGTCTTTTCTCGCTCTTTATTGGATTTGTTTCGACAAGCATGCAATATGTAAGTACATATATATATATACTGTATATATTATGAAGTATTATCCAATCAGTATACGAAATGGTATCTGGCTGTGAGGTCCTGTGATGATGTGAGAGCATGAGCCTCAAATTTTCAGAATAGAAAATTCCGTACGGTATGGAATTGAGTAGATATTGAGTAGGGACTTTCAATATCTCTCAATATCGCTCAATATCTCTTATACAATATCTCATGCTGCTGAGTCCTCTCTGGAGTCACAAAAAGTCCTAGAATTCCTCCATTTGCATCCATGTGCACCGTGTTGTTTTGGTGCGCTGACGCGCTGCGCTGATATCCTCAATGACACTGCTCCTGAGGAGAACATGCTTGAGACACTTACAACTCAGGATTCAGGCCTGAGATTTAGTTGTTCGCACACATTTGGAATATTATATATATATACAATTATATATATATATTATACATACATATTATATCATATTATACAATATTATGTAACATTATATATACATGTGATCGTACATACATTTGATTGTATATAACATATGATTGTATATACATATGGTTGTATATACATATGATTGTGTATTCACGCATGATATTATGCAGACTTGTTTGTAGGTTTCTTGCACGCATTTTGGAGAGACCATCCATCGCGCACGCTCAGATTTCTATGTGACCTTGATGGATGATGGGATCAAGTTGGACTTGTCGCACTTTGCACCGTCAAAAGCTTGGCGTTGCAATCTGACCGCAGAACTGCGTGTCAAGATCACTGACTGTTCTTGCTCTTTCGTTTGAAGGGACTACTGTGAGTGGTTGGTTGCGTTTGAACTTCTTTGTTTTGAAAGTTTGTAACAGTAGACACACCTAACATGGAATGTCTGATTGTTGGCTCGATGTGAACGGAGCTGGTGTACAAGATGGTTCCAAGTTATTGTTGTAAAGGAGTATCTGTAGATCTATGTAATATTTTTATTGTTTGATTTACAGTTTGTCGTCATTCTGTTTGCCGATCTAGTATCGGTATGTATCGGTTTATTTACTATGAGAAATGTACAAGAGCATCAAAAGCATCAAGAGCTCAGAGCTCTTGATAAGATCGATCGGATCTATCGATCAGATTTTGTTGAAGCTGTTACAGCCGCCAATTTTGAGGCCACACATCATCAAAGTGCTGTCAGAGTGTCCGCCTCTGCAGAACATTGAGGATGCTGCGCTTGCCCAAGGCTCCAAATGAGTTCATCTAGGTACTCGCACGAGACTCGCGCCATTTACGACCCACAACTTCTCAACTCCATCTTCCGATTCCACTTCCGTTCAACTGCGCCAACAAGTGCAAACATTTTCAACAGGCAGGTTCTCCCAGTGTAGTGTAATGCCAAGGTGCTCACAATGAATGCCGCCTGCGGCTTTGGTATTGAGACCGATGAAGCGCAGAGCTCGGACCTGTATTTCATGAAGACTTCGTGAAGAGTTCATGTCTTTGTGTGTCTGTGCATCTCCATGTTCCTGCTGTCCAACACAGCTCCTGAAAAGGATTGCCCTCTCAGACCCAGGCAAAGTCAGCCACATTCAGCAGCTCCACTGCTTTTTTGCCACTTTCAAGCAAGATTTCGTGATACTTGAATGATTTTTAATGGCTCACATTCTAGTATTTTAATGCTTTCGCATGATATTTATCTTGTGTTTTGTTTACTTTTCTGTGACAATGAGGCAGCACCTTGGTTGAGCTTCATTTCTGTCAGCTTAGGCGAGAGCACGTCATCCAGTCTCGTTTGGGAGTCGAAGTTCTCACGAAAGATTTACGGCAGCAGGCCCTTCTCCTGGAACTTTTTTGAAGCCAAGTTGCCACAAGTTGCCACAAGTTGCCTCAAGTTGCAGTTGAACTTTATCTTTACAGTGTATATCTTTATCGTCTTTGCCATATTTGCTTTTCCCATTTGTTTGCCGATGTTTTAGATTGTGTTAGTCCTGAAACTGTTAGTATTCACAAAACTCAATGAAACTCATTGAAACTCGTTGAAACTCATTGAAACTCCGCTCATCTCGCATACGGCATACGTACTGCATATGTTGCGATTTGGCCGGACTCAGGTGTGCAGAAGACCTCTGTGCAGGGGACATGTTCTTCGCTTGCACAAGCTTTTAGTTGGATGTCGCAACCCCAGCGTCTTCCTTTGCACTCCAACTGCAGTGTTCTGTTATGTTCTTGAATAGTTATTGAACAGTTCTTGAACGGCTCGGATAGGTCTTGAATAGCCATAGTCTCAGGATGACCAGAGTTGAACAACTTGTCCATGCTCTGAGGTGGAGAGGGTGCAGGACACAAGAGTGTCATTGCCAGAATTGCCTCTAGCTTGCAGACAGGTGTGTTCCAGTTTGCTCTGTCCAGAAAGCTATCAAGAGGTACTTGAAGCTGCAGGTGGGAGGGCTCTCTTCCTCCACTGTGTCATGTTCAACAGATTCACACCGCATGGAAAACTATTTGGTCATTTTGGTCCATATGTTCCTTGTTCAGCGAAGTTCAGCCTAGCACTTCAGAACCTGAAGGTTTCTTACCAATCCCAGGTCAGTGCTGTTGATACAAGCATGGACTCCTGCTTGGAGGCAAAGGATGGCAACTGTATTCAGTGACAAATGGTAATCCATGGCGCATGGAAACGCACTGTACACAGAAATCACAGAACTTCTGCATCTCCACTGCTGAACCCGTGGTGATACGTGGCATATATCAAGGTTTCGGACTACTGTGAGGTGTTCTTCTTTTGATACTGCCCATCCCACAACATAAGATACCAGACTATTCACGAAAAGTCAATGATATTCCACAATTCTACATGTATCATCATGTATCTATACATGGGGATCTAAAGGTCCTTGTAAGGATTTTTAATTGCGAAAGCCGTGCATGTTATGTTGGAAACCCTCGCGAAAGTTTTTTTTCCGAGTTCGCGAAAGTAACATGTTTTTTCGCGAAAGTTTCGCGAAAGTTGGATATTATAATCATTATGTAAAGGGCTGCCACCCACTGCCGCCCAGGGTCCGGCAGGAGAAGGGCAATAGAGAATTTTGGTTTGGTTCTGGTTCAGTTCCCTGTGTGGTGGTGCTTGTGGACAATCACACCCTTCATAGGTAGCAGCCGCGCTTCCAAAGGCGAGGCTTCGCGACAGCCAAACGCCATGGTCCTGAAGCACATCCTTGCACCTGCCGCTGTCACTGCCTAATGATGCTTTTTGAAGTCTCAAGAAACAAGCTCCAAATGCAGTAGCCAAGTTTCCAAAAGTGAGGCTTTGCGAGAGCCAAACACCAAGGCCCCTGGTGTTCGCTTTTCCTTCAATGCACCCCCTGCTGATGGCCGGGGTCTGTGAATAGGGACATTTTCGCGAAAGTTATGCGAAAGAGCGGGCGAAAGTCAAAGTGCATGTTGAAGGGGGTGGGCCAGTAAACCTTGCCAAAAAAACCTAGTCAGCAACAATCTGCCCTGAGAAGGGATTCCGTGATGCTAGCTGCATGTTTAAAGGCTATCAAGAAGTGATCCGTGATTCTCTGGCGTAATTTGGCAGGTGGTGAACGAATCTTTATAAGAGGTGTTGTTGGCCAACATGGGCCCCGCGAAAGATAAACATGGAGTTCGCGAAAGTTTTGCGAAAGTCATTTTTTATTCGCGAAGAATGGCCGTTCCCGGATAAAGGAATTTTGATCAAAACCCGCATATATATATATATATATACACTCTGTAGTGTAGTCCCGGGGATGCTTTATGCATTATGTATGTTCCGTGAGTAGCAGTGCGCATGAAACAGACTGAACATAGTGAAACAGTTTCTGAAAGATACTGAAAGAAACTGAAAGATACTTGATTTTTTTGTGTGTCTTGTGTCTTTCCTTCTCTTCGAGTCGATTCTGGACTTTCAAGTCTGGGCAGCCTCAAAGTCCCCAGGTGCACAGTGCCAACCAAGGGGATGCAACGCATTCCGAAGTGTCGCTTACTTGACTTGAGAAAGCAACAAGTAGCAACGAGGTAAGCAAGGTCGGATCAGGTTGGCATTATGTCACTTGTAAGGCACATCCTCAGTTGATCTCATTCGGATGTAGTGTTGGCAAATCCTTATGACCTTCATTACCTTCCAGAATTGGCACGCTAAGGAACATCCACTTTTTCAATGGAAGGATAATGACATTTGGAAAATTGGAAAATGTTGGAAATGTTTTCTCGGCACTGGTTAAAGATGGTTAAACTGTGTCGAACTGGAGGTCTGGTGGAACTATGGGCGTTTGGTCTAGCGATATGAGCGTGAGGGTCTCAGAAAACTCCAAGAGAGATCAACCTGGTCGAGTCTGCAGAGAGGCTTCGTGTCGCAAACGAATCAGATTGAGCCAGTTACAGCATATTACAGATATTATGTAAATGTATTATTCTGTACTATATAACATTACACATACAATACCTATATTACAGCACAGTCCGCTGCATTACACATGATCAAATCTGAGAATCCGTTGGATCAGTACTGGGATCATCTGGGATCTGAGGAAGTCAATCACGTTCTCGTGAAAGGCATCGACACAGGCCTCCCGCGAGTGTCTTTAGCAGAGACGGTTGTCATGATTCTATAGCGTATCTAGTCTGCTGCGCTTTCTCCTGACTCTGAGCCATGACTCTTGTTCAGAATAACGCCAAAAGTACTAACGCGAAAGTACATTACAGGACGGGTTAACTAGGTCAGCCCGACCGA